GCATTCTTTTTACATTATAAACAGGCCTTCCCTACAAAGGTTGGGAACCACGAAGTCATGCCTAAATATTTCTTTTTTACATGTTTATTTACTTATTTTTGAGAGAGAGAGAGAGAGAGGCAGAGAGAGAGAGAGGGAGACAGAGAATCCCAAGCAGGCTCTGTGCCCTCAGCACAGAGCCCGACACTGGGCTCGAGCTCATGAACCGTGAGACCAGGACCGGAGCCGAGATGAAGAATCAGTCGCTTAACCAGGCGCCCCTCAAAAGATGTCTCTTGAATCGCCGCGTCCGGAGCAGAAAAAGTAAACCTCCGGGGCTCTGAGATGCTGGCCGTGGAAACTATGAAACTATATGCAGCCTCTTCTTCTGAGAAAAGCACCTTTGCTGAATCACACCAGGAGTTGGAATGCAGCCAACACAATCCAGCCAGAGCGGGTAGGGCTCCTGCGGGTCCGATGGGAGACCCCGCCCCTCCAACCTTCCTTTCCTCCTTCTCTTCCCAGAAGGAGGCAGCAACCCTGGGGAAGCGTGTCCCTCCGCGGGCCCACGCAACAACTGGGTGGGTCCGATACAAAAGCCACATCCCCTGGCCTCGCTTTCACTGGCAATAAGCTGACACCATGATTTCTGCCTGTTTGGAAGGGAGGGGAGTTATTTCTAGACCTCCTCACCCCCCACCGTCTGTTACGTGGCAACGGGCTAGTTACAGAGCAACAGGTACCGTGTATCTTCTAGAATAAGGTGAAGGAAAACAAGGAGAAGAGAGCCGCAGGTCTGCCGGTGGGCCAGGCCTCACTGGGCCAAGAGTGCTCCCAGGGGAGGGTGGTGTCACAACAGCTCGGGTCCCGTGCAAACGGCCAGGGGGTGAGCAGAGGTATGGCAGGCTCGGAGACGTAAGGGAAGCTCCCCAGGAGACACCTGTGAAATATGGAAAGGTCAGAGGTTACAGCGATGCTGGCCTGGAAAGTGTTGCTAGAGAGGCAGAACTTTATTCTGGAAGCCAGGGGGACGCTGCTCTGGGATGAGGAGTCCAAGTGACTCCCGGGTTGGACAGCTAAGTCGGGAAGGTGCCATTGCTGCCCTTTACCGAGTCACTCCCCGCTGCGCATTGTTTCTAGGTCCATAAGACCTTCGGGTTACTTCCTAATGACTTGAAGCACTTAGAAGAGCGCTGTGAAGAAAGGGCCCAGGTGAGCAGGGTCAGAAAGAACTCTGGGAACAGATCTGGTGTGAGTGGCACCTTGGAAAGCATGCACACGGATGGACCGGACAAGGCAGAAATCCCAGCACCCGGAGAAGTGTGACAAGGGGAAGGAGCAGGACAGGCTTCCAGACCAGCCCTGAAACTCATCAGATGGGACACGGAGGGTCATACGGATGGTGTGTAATCAGAGGTGTTAAAAAAGAACCACACTGGTCACGTCTGTATTTGGCCAAGCTTCTGCACCCCTCCGTCCTGTGTGCACCCACGGTCGCCTGAACAAAGTCCCACGTAACGCTCATCAGATCGCTTTGTGATTGTTCAGCGGCAAATCACACCAGCATCAGGGCTGGTCTGTGGGTCTCGGAGAATGTTTGTATCTTGGCTCACCCTGTGCTCCAAAAGGACCTCTCTCCAGACATGTCCCCGGGCAAAATGCTGAAATGTGACTTTTAAACAAACAAAAATCCTGTGGCCGCTGAAGCAATCCATTCCCCATCAGCCGAAGGGAGAACAGTGGATGTTTTCAAAGATAAAGTGGTAGGCGAGCCATTTTGAAGGGAATAATAAGCAGAAGTGGCCAACGAATTGGCCCGAGAAGACCCAGCCAGCCGGCCAACAAACCAAGCAGACATGTGCTATGTATCACTAAAAACTCCTGACTTTCCTAAAATTTACTTTGAAAATGCAGGCTTTGAAAGTTGGGATGAACCTCATTCAAATCCAGTGCATCTAAAACAGAGGTTGGGATCTGTTGGGAGATTATATAATAAGTAAGATTAAGTCATTGTTTTTTTTTTTTTTAATGTTTATTTATTTTTGAGAGGGGGAGGGGCAGAGAGAGGGAGACACAGAATCTGAAGCAGGCTCCAGGCTCTGAGTTGTCAGCACGGTGCCCAACACGGGGCCCGAACCCATGGTCGGTGAGATCATGACCTGAGCTGAAGTCAGATGCTTAACCAGCTGAGCCACCCCGACGCCCCAGATTAAGTCCTGGTTTAAAGACTTATAGTTACTCTCGCTGTGTTTTTTTTTTAAAGTACCACAACATGGATGGACCTCAAAAACCTTCTGCTAAGTAAAAAAAAAAAGTCAGGTTCAAAAGGCCATATAGTGTATGATTCTATTTATATGAAAATTGCCAGAAAGACAATGGAAAGCAGACTAATGGCTTCCTGGGCTCAGGGGAGAAAATAGGAATGGGCAGCAAACGGATACAAGGATCCTGTCGGGGTAATGAAAATGTTTGAAAATTGGAGTGTGGTAGTCATTACACAAGTCTGTCAATGCACAGAAAAAATCACTGAATTATACATTTAATGTTATGCTATGCAAATCACACTTCAATACAGTTTTTTTTTAAAGCGGAAATCTTTAAAACAACCAAGGGTTTGATACTTCATAAAATGTCTATGTACAAGATCTTTGAGATTACTGAATCCAGGCTTACAGAAGGCCCAGAGTAAGGCTGCCATTGATAGAAGCTAGCAGAAGCAGGGAGAAGTTGAACAAGACTGGAATGCAGATCCCTAGATGCCCAGGTAGAACCATCTTCTTGGTCTTCACAGGGTTTGTTTGGAGTATCTAACTGGAGGAAGGATGTCATTTTACTTGTCCACAGACACTGTCAATGAGGAGGCCAGCTGCTCTCTCCCTGGGCCCCGGTAGACCTCCTAGGTTAAGTTCCCAGGCCAGGCCAGGAGGAGGCAAGAAATGGGATAAGGATGACACCCCACTCATCCATCTCATTTCCAGTGGGTAGCAGGTGCTGGTTGGAATCTGTACTTCTTTGCAGGCTCAGAGGAATGTAGTGTCCCAGGCTCCACCTCACCCCTCTCCAGGCCAAGGGGGCTGAAATACAGTTGCCTTTTAAGTCAGTCCCCACTGAGCCTCCTTGATGTGGATGAAGCCTGTCATCTACTCATCCACTGACACCAACACTCACCCATTTATCCTGATCCATCCATCCATCCCTGCACCCATCTTTCCAAAAAT